TAAACGTCATATCAAGCTTTTTCAAGCGCTGATTGAAGTTATTTCAGAAGGACAAAGACGATCAATGTGCTAACTCCACGGGAAAATCCGTCAATTAAGGTTAGAGCGCGATTTAAAACGTGTTTGTTTATACGTTACGTTGGCGTACGTTGCAAGGTACGGTAATATGTCATTTCGCTTAGTTATAGGTAATATGTCATTTCGCTCGTGAACTTTTAGAACGTGAACAACGGTGGATTACAAATGTTTTAGAAAAACAAGAGCTAACCTCATTGAACATTGTTAGTTTTCTGGTGATATAGGACGATCTTTGTTTCGAACTCGCAGTTGAATAAAATGTTTTGAAACAATTTCCCGGACAAAAATATCACACATGTTTCATCCGGTGCAGTAATCAATGCTAACTTAAGTAATATGCATTTTCAATTCGTAAAGCGGACACATGCATCACAGGCTACTGATCACTGGCCTCACGCTTTATTGAAATTAGAGAGGTTAAGATACCCCGATTCCGGTTTACGGGTACGGGTGATATACACGTACCCGTAAATCGGGGAATAACTTGTAACTTAAGCGGAAATCCAAAATACTCCGGCGTGAGAAAACCGATCAGAGAATGGCAACTTTCGCTGTTGAGGTTCGCCATAAATTGTTGAATACTTTGACCAGCATATGTGCATTATTTATTTGGGTAAGATGTTCGGAAAATTTTTACTATTTAAACAACCCAAAAATAGTAAACAGAAAACACCCGTACCCGTTTGTCGTTTACGTGTAGACCATGGTTTACCGCGGGGAAACGGGTAGAAATTACGGGTAAAATTGCTGACATCAGCAAAAATTGGTAAACAAAATGGCGATACTCGTACCCGTAAACCGGAACCGGGGAATCTTAACCTCTCTTGAGTCAAAGCTGTTATATCGTGGCTGTTTGGCAGCATTTGAAAACAGAAAATTTTGCATAAACTAATTAAGCAAATTTTGCATAAAATTAAGCAAAATACAATCGCGAAAAAATATCGGTATTATCGGTATTTTTTTTCCAGTATCGGTTTTCGTTTTTTTTTCAAATACCGCAACAGCCTACCCCCAATTTTTATTTCATAAAATGATTTCTTTTAGTATACTCAATTATTTTGACAATTTATTAAAATACCGATCTAAATGGTGAATTTTCCATTTTTTTGAAAACGTGTCGCTCCATTTTTTTGAAAACCGTACCCAGCTAGCACAATTACGTTGTGCCAACGTTGTACGAACGTTCGCCGAACGTGGAGATAACGTTGGTATTATAAGTTGTAGTAACGTTATTTTGTGAACTCGCAGGAACGTGGTGACAACGTCAGGATTAACGTTAGAACACGACGTTGGTTCAACGTTCTTACAACGTTTGATTAACGTTAGAACACGACGTTGGTTCAACGTTCTCACAACGTTTGATTAACGTCCAGAAAACGTTGAAAATTAACGTTGTAGTAACGTTATTTTGTGAACTCGCAGGAACGTTGTGACAACGTTAGGATCAACGTTAGAACAATTGACTAAAGTCTTTGATTTAATCATTTTATTTAAGGAAAGAGCTTCATTTACAAATAATATAGGCTAAAATTACTGATCCAATTTATAGTTTGGATGAATATTGACAATAATATTTAATTCAGTATACGAACAAGCTTTCGTTGGTAGGGATGTAACTACCTGAACAATCTTGTGCGACAGAACTTTTTCTAGGCCGCATTTTATTACCTTAATAGACGTACGTAATACTGACTTACTGTGCTTGAATAACAGTCTGTAGTTTAAATTACAGAATTACCTGAACAATATAAGGAAAATTTCGAAACGTCACAATTCTTCTAGTTCTCGTTATATGTAGTTTCAGGTAGTTGCATCCCCACCTACACTGGCACAGGCAGTTCAATATTTAATATATACAGTATACTAATTAGTCATTCTTGGATTTCATTGACAAATGAACGAGTACTCCTGAAATATATCTTCGATTCAACAGAGGCGCTGTAAAATGTAAATTAATATGGCGTCAAACAAACATGCAGACACATATCAAAATAAATATACTTTGTTCGCCTTTTTTCCGTACATGAGACTGATAGACACATGGAAGTTTCAAATGTTACAGATACAATATATATACTTACATCGAAAACAAAACAGACGAGCGAGTTCTTCTGAAATATACAGCAGCTTCGATGAGATTACAGAGTCAGCATACATTTCAGTTGCGTCGCAAGCCAAGAACAATGGTGTAATCTTTTCAATTTGCCCGCGGCGCAAACACTTTACGTATATATGGTCAGAATTACCATATTTGGCGAGTTGTTGATAAGCTGCCAAATACAAAGGCATACTGTCTGGCTTAAAATCAGTTGGATAAAACGTTTTCAGGACAAAATTTCCAGTAAGAACTAACCAAGGCGACGTTCCTCGCGATTTCTGCTGAATAGGCATAAGAAGTCATATGGCCTGATGCGGTTTTATACCTATAGTTTAACTGTCAGGTTCAATAATAGAAGACATATGTTTAATTTTTTTAGAACGTTGCGAAAATATCAAATCTTAACGTCAAGACGACGTTGTTTACGACGTTGTTTTGATGTCATATCCAAACGTTACACATTAACGTTGCTACAACGTTAAAATCTAACATTGCTATGAAGATATCGTATGACATCCTGGAACGTTGCGAAAATATCAAATCTTAACGTCAGGACGACGTTGTCTACGACGTTGTTTTGATGTCACGTCCAAACGTTACACATTAACGTTGCTACAACGTTGAAATCTAACATTGCTAAGAAGGTGTCGCATGACATCCTGGAACGTTAAATTTCAACGTTAAACCAACGTTTACACCACGTGCTCTTATTCCGGATAGAAAAGTAATGTTGTGTGAACGTCGTGTGAAAGTTAAGTTAGATCTAACTTTGCAACAACCTTTTACCAACGTTGTAATAACGTTATGTGCTAGCTGGGTACGGCCTACTTTTACGCAAACGTGAATTACAATTGCAACTTTCATGCTTAATTTTGTCTGTTATCTGGGCGGTATACTAGCTCGTCAAAACTTTAGGTATTTAAACGGATAACTGCATTGAAAAGTCCTTCAAAACAGTACATTTTTTAAGGATTCTTCAGTCAGGGTGGGGCAAAATTGCTAAAGGGCCCATTCTCTCCTTGTCCTCCCCATGCAGGATAGTATACGATCGCCGAAGGTGTGAGCCGAGTACCGTAGGTTCGAGTTAGCTAGGGATGGTTTTAAAATTTGGGTCTCTGAAATAGCATTTCGTGCATTCTAAGGACACATTTTTTAAAAAAGTTTTAATCAGGTGAAAATTGTAATAAATTGCATGCTAAACATTCAAACACAACATAAGTTCAGTTCAAACACAACATAAGGTCAGTTCAAACACAACATAAGTTCAGTTACTAGTATGCTGCACCAACAAATTTAGTTTTTTAAACTTTTTTTCAATGTTAAACTCATTTACTCATACCGAGTCCTAGGGACCTGGCTTTGGGGCAATAGGCCATTTTTTTCAGTTGTGGGGCAAAGGAAGGGGCCCAGTGGGGCAAATGCCCCACCAGTCCACAGTATTAAAAAATGCCTTGCTTCAAAAATAGCACATTACACTCATGGCATAAAATTAGATTACATGCAACACGACTGGATAACATGCAGTCTTAACAGAGGAAATCATGAAAGTGGCAATTGCAATCGCGTTTGCGTAAAAGTAGGCCGTATATATACGGAAATTGTCGCATATCTCAACGGGAATTTTAGGTAAATTTAAACCGATAACTGCATTGAAAAGCGCTTGAAAAACAGCACATTATAATAGAATAAAATTGGATTATTACATGCACAGATAACAGAGAAAATTAATCATGAATGTTGCCATTGTAATTCGCGTTTGCGTAAAAGTAGGCTGTACTGAAATTGTCATATCTCAACGGGCATTTTAGGTATATTTAAACCGATAACTGCATTGAAAAGCCCTGGAAAAACAGCACATTATAGTAGCATAAAATTGGATTACTACATGCACAGAACAGAGAAAATTAAGCGGCATGAATGTTGCCATTGTAATTCGCGTTTGCGTAAAAGTAGGCCGTACTGAAATTGTCATATCTCAACGGGCATTTTAGGTATATTTAAACCGATAACTGCATTGAAAAGCCCTGGAAAAACAGCACATTATAGTAGCATAAAATTGGATTACTACATGCACAGATAACAGAGAAAATTAAGCATGAATGTTGCCATTGTAATTCGCGTTTGCGTATAAAAGTAGGCCGTACTGAAATTGTCATATCTCAACGGGAATGTTACTTTTAGGACCGATAACTGCATTAAAAAGCCCTTGAAAAACAGCACATTATAGCGGCATAAAATTAAATTACTACCGATACCCAGATAACAAAGAAAAATAAGCATGAAAGTTGCAAAGGTTGGGATTTTAATTCTGCATGAAAAATACAAATACCACTCTATATGCCTTCATATCCGCATTTTACCCTCTCGCCGTCCGTTCGCATATCTCATCTGTCCGCATTTTACCCTCCTGTCCGTCCGTTTTTCTCATCCGTCCGTCTGCCGTCTATCCGTCTTAAAAATATTTTCATTGTCTATACGACGCCCAACATTGATCCAACTTGCTTGAATTGTAACTCGACACCAGATTATAGAGTAGAACGTCACGATATAAATATTAATTTAAGAGTTCTCTTTACGATTTCTTGTTGCAAATTTACAGTAAATTTCATCACCCAAAGTTGCAATTTTAAAACGCTACAAACACCCCCACGACGCACGACCCACGACGCACGACCCACCCACCAACGCCATTAAGCGATCCCGTCGTTAACTGCATGGTTATTTCAAATCACCAAAACACATTACATTAGCCCCCCAAAATGGCACTTTATTAACTAGAATTTAAAAAGTCTACATTGTACTATATTATATACATGGATAGCTTGGGGGTCCAAATACATTTTTACATAATAACAAACTTTATTCAAACTAGTGCAGGCCCCTCCTGGAGATTTCAGTCCCGCTTGAAGGCCTTGATTAGAAATCCTGGCTACATCACTGCTCAATTCCATTGCCAATGGTGTTAGCATGTTTAGACAGAGTAGGTTAACAAACTAGTGTGTATTATGAGATTATTATTCAAATCCATTGAACACCAGTGATCTATCCCAACATATAAAATCATCTGGTGTTAGACAGTCAGAGTAAAATAAAAAGTAGGACACAATGTATAACAATTAATAGGTAAGGTTAATGGCCAGAACTAAATGATAAACAATATTTTATAATAAACCCAAATTAGTTCAGCACCATTGGTTCTTATAACACTGTTCATTCCAATACTAGAACATCAATTGTTATTACTTAAAATGTATTTCAGTTGGCAATTAACAAAAGTTGGAGTTTCATCCGATGACATGTATGCTTCTAACCATGCTGTCCATGCAGCTATCTGACAGTTTTTAATTTTCAACATTCCCAAAGCCATTATTCTCAAGATTTGCCAAAAAGGTTTTCCAAATAAACACAGAAATATATTACATCACTCATCAGTCATCACTGTTCATTTTACATTCTTCAAGTAGATTCATGTTTACAGTACAGTATATATCTTGTGTATTTACAATTAAATCTTGCAATATCTTGTTCAAAACCCTCAAATCCAAGATAATTGGCAGCCAGCCATGTTACCAGTACGATTTCTAGTTTGTTGACTTCGAAATGACCAAGGTTGTACTCGAGTATAAATGTTTATACTTTAGTTATTGAATAGCCCCTGTATATCGCTGACAAGGTATCATTGTTGCGAGTCAGTGAGGCAGGGCAGACGTGTCTTTTGTGCTCCGCCGATTGTTTGTAATTTTACTTTGAAATAAAATAGTTTTGAAGGCATGGATGGCACTAAATATACCGATTTCTTAATCTTTGATGGAGAATCATATCGTTGGTTGGGGAGCTATACTGAGTTAAAGAATTATATTGCCGAAGACTTAAAAATGGCAGGAATATGGAAGTCACCGGGAGGAGGTGCTAAGCGTTTCATAGCTGGCCAAGATTCTGAATTTGTTCTTAAATGGCAAAAGTCAAAAAAGTTGGTAATCGAAAAGGACAACACAGATGAGTATTTATCAAAATATCTTAAAGCTAACGCATGTGTCACGTCGGTCGTAGCTATGAACGGCTGCGAGAATGAGTTTTTGTCGACCAGCAGCAATGGCGAAGGCGTCCATGCGGCTAATTTTACCTTGCCCACTGAAACTAATATAAATGATGACCCATCCTTAGTGCACTTAACGAAAGCAGTAGAAGCTGGATTTAGTCTAGCAGACACGAAAATTAGAAATATTGAAGAGAAACTCAATGTTAAAATAAGTGATGTTCTTGACGATCTGAACGAACTAAAGGCCCGGTCTGAGCCTGTCTCCGAGCGATTAGTCAATGCATTGCTTGAAGAGAATACTAAACTTAAGAAAGATAACGATGTGCTATCTGGGAGACTCAATAATTCGTTGCTTGTTGTATCGGATCTTAACACCCGTATTAAGGACATTGAAAACGAGAAATGTAGTTTGATTACAGCTATTAGACTTATTCAATGCGCAGACAAAAGTCATGTTGACTCAACGGTAACGGCAGCGGAGCAGTTGAAGTCTGATGACACTAACGTATTTAATCAACATGATTTATCTCATAATTTAAGTATGAATGATGTCGAAGAGTCGATTCGGGTAGTTGATAAAAACCCAGATTATTTTCTGTCAAGTAATAAAATCCCGGAGTCACAAAGTTTGAAGCGCAAGTATAAGTCGAAAAACAAGAGAAAAGGTCTAAACCTTGATAAGAATTTGTCCGAAAATGCAAATTCCACAACTAGATCGGAAGTCTTACAACAAATTCCAGCAAACAATAATTCCACAGCAGAACCAGTCATGCAACAAATACCATCAAATGACAATACAATGACAGAACCAGTCATGCAACAAATTCCATCAAATGTCAATTCAATAACAGACCCCGTTGTTCAACAAATTCCATCAAATACCAGTGGCACCAATAACTTGCATACTGTGCCAGAAACGCATAACAAACATGCAAATTATTCTGTGAAAAATGTCACTGTTGTTGCAGGAGATTCAATTGTCCAGAACCTGCAGGGCTGGCGTCTTTCTAACACTGACAACCATGTTGTTGTCAAGAGCTTCTCTGGGGCAAATATAACAGACATGGAAGACTATTTGAAGCCCATCCTTCGTAAGGAGCCGAATAAAGTCATTCTACACGTAGGAACTAACGATTTAAAACATCTATCTGCTAAGAGAGTGGCTGAAAGGATTGCAAATCTCGCAACCCAAATCGAAGAAGATTCCCCAGCAACCAGCATTGTGATCTCTAGTATATTACCACGATCAGATAAATCTGAACTATCGGCAAAAGCAACAGAAGCTAACAAGCTTATTAAAGCAATATGCTCTAAAAATCAATGGGCATTTATTGATCATAAATCGGTTAATTTGTCTTGTCTAAACACAAGGGAATTGCACCTTAATCGTAAAGGAACTTCTATTGTAGCAAAGAACATTTCTAAGTACATTAATTCCTGTTAGGAAATTGCCGTAAGAGAGTCAGTTAATTCTTTATCCGCATCTCGTATTTCTAATACCGAAGCCCCATATACTAGATTATTCAGCCATGGTCTTGCAATTGCTTGTATAAATATAAATAGTTTGTTAGCTCACATTGATGATTTAAGAATCTTTATGGACAATAGTAAAATCGATATATTATCTATAAATGAAACTAAGTT